GATCTCTCCTTATCGCTAAAGCCCTAGGATAAGGCAAATCATTCCACGGCGATCGGAAGCTCGGCGGCAAGACAACGTCGATCTTAGACGTCGTGAGGATCGCTGTTCTCTTCCGTATCTCTACTCACTCAACAGGTCATGCAAACCTTCCGTGCTAATCCCGCAGGAAGAATCTACAAAGAACCAGTCCTCGAGTTCGGTCGACGCCGTTCGCGCCTCGATGATATTCAGCTCGATTCCAGCATGGGTCGCTACTGATTCGGATAAGTGAGGTCGACTTTGAACTGTTATCTTTGGTTCTGCGTCGTCGAACACTCCGCATGCTGCTGGTTAAAAACTCTGACGTCTACCCAATCATTGTTCAAGAGACTCACGGTTTTTCCGAGCCGAGCATTGTTATACCAGTGTCCCTATCCGAGACTCGAAAGTCACAATCGATCATATTCGTGAGCGTACGCTGGTCGATTCGATTTAACGTGACTCAACCCCACGCGCGAACTCCCGTCGTCCTTCGCAGATTTAACTCTGCAGATATCGCATCCGAGCGAGCCTTTACGATCCGTGTAAAGTTCATCGGTTCGTTTTCCAGGGATGCTACACAATGCTTGGATGCCTCCCCTCCCTTCTACGGAGCGCTCCTCCACCGTGGGAAGCGGTGTCTCTCAGATGGTCCTCGTTCATATCGAATGAGGAAACATCGCATGGGCAGAAATTCGACTTGTTCATCGTGCAAGATCGTTCCCTGGACAAATTTTCGAGACCGATCTGAGAGGGATAGTACGAGGAGAGCTTTCCGGACTCGCTAGCGGCGCTTCGTGTTTCGCTCCAAGCGAAACTAAATGACCTAATGAATAAGACGCCGACTCTACATGTGTGCCGCCGCTCGAGTCTATCTAGCGATGTATCCATTCATCTCGGTATTTATCAGTCGGCGGCGGCTCGCGAACATCGCGTAAAAAACGGGCGGCTTGCGCGATGGACGCAGCGTTCAACAGTTTGGCTTTGGAACCTCTGTCGTGTTGTTATTATTCTCGATTCCAGCGACGTCCGAAGACTCTCAGCGTCTCGATCGGACACTCGTCTCGCGTCGGGAAAACGTTCTCTGTCGACGCCTGAACAGGTTGAACAGAATACTCGGGCATCGGAGCGCTCATCACGGTCGATCCCGCACGCTCACACACATAGATCGCGACATACCTCTGCGAGAGTTTCCCAGTCGTCCACTGGCGTGATGATCATCGTTCCATCGTTGCAACGTCGATCATTTTCTTCAACGACAACAACAACAATAACAATAATGGGGTCCAGTCCAACAAGGTTTTCTGCTTCTACACATTCGCACTAACCCCCTGAAAGTAGTTTCTAGTAGTCGTACCCAGCTCACAGAGCAACCATCCACCACACATATAAACAAGATGTCTCCTGGTAGAGCGAGATCGGTTTCGGCTCTTGTCCGCCAGGCGGCGCCACTCGTTCACTGAGAGCCGGCCCGGCCGATTTTTGCGATGCGCATTCTGAATCTATACAGACATTGCTCTCTGTACCGCGGAACGTGGGCTCACACCCCGTCCGTAGGTGGGTCCGTCCGGTCAGTTTCCCTTGCGTCTCCTCCGTCCGACCGACAAGGCGGGCGAGCGTCCGTCCGGCAATTGATCGGTTTCTAGAACTGACCGTGAGTCGACTCACCAACTCAATCCCGTGATGCTTCCATGCCTCTCGGGTCGTTCGAAGTTTTTTATGTTCACTGCTTTCGGTTCACTGTGCTTACTATCTCAGCGACAGTATCGGTGGTCCGTTCAAGCGTTCTATGCGCGCCTGCTTACACTGTCACGGCCCGCGGCATGTTCAATTTTGAGATTGGAACAAGACAAAAAAGAGAGAAACCAGAGAGAGAATCTTATCTCGGAGCCTTCGGTCTAATCGGTGATGATGATGTATACGCTATGGGAATATGAAGATATGGTGAATGCGGAATGCTTCAACTCCGTAAATCGAGATAGCTCATTATTTTGCAGACGATTCTCGTAGGGAGGGCGCTCTTGCGCAATCCATGAGCAATAATAATTCCAGAAGCCAAAGATGCTGATTCCGATGGCTTAAGATCATGCTCCTCTATCGCCCCCGATAAGCCTGAGATGGGTTTTGATATGAGTCATTTACGTTAGCGCGCTCTCATCCGTCCAGCGCTGCGAGTGCCGGACCTGCGCTTTCAGAGTTCGGCTAGAGGAATTGACTCCGTTCCGATCGTCGAGAACGAGGAGGTGTATTCACGAAGGGAAGAATCCACCTCTGTGTACACATTTCATGAATTCGGAGAGGCCGACCATGAATCGGTTTTCAGAGTCAGACTTTCCCACGAACTCAAGCTCAAGTTTCGCCACTCATCGCCCTCTGGAAGTCTTTCCGCTGCGAGGGACCAGGCGGCCCCCACGGACTTTCTGGTGAATTCCGCATGCAGCATCTTGGAAGAAGCGTCTTCAGAAAGGATTAGTGACCGGAACGTTGGATAAGATTACCGTCATGAGTAGCGTACGATTAGAGGCCGAAAATTTTGAGGATTGAGGCCGTCGAAGATATGCGCGCTCAAATCGCTCTATCGGGAGAGAGAGTTCGGTGTGAGGATGAGACACGCCGACGATTCCTGGAGATCCCCCCGCGATGAGATTCTACGGAATCACGGTGCAGGAACGACGGCCTGACTGATTCCAAGTCGATTTTCTTGCCCGAGGAGTTCTTGAATATATGCTCCTCTAGGAAGGGCTCCCTCAGTTGATTGCTTGTGTTTTCCTGCTCGGTCCATTCAGTTCCGGGGAATCGGGATAGCAATCATGAAATCGGAGTTACGGAAATGTTCTCGGGGTTTCGTATCGCTACCCGGTCTTTCGTCATGTACGTTGGCCGACGACACAGCTCGAACTCAGCTCAGCGGCGATCATCACACGATTGTCGCCGCTCAAATCACAACTGGACAAAAGGCTGTTGGCTGTATCATCAATCATGACGCGGTGCTGAGAAAACGAAATCACGACCCCAGTGCGAAAAACCGCGATGATACAATACGGGCCGGGAAATCTCTTTATTGCACCAACAGAACGGATTCCCCGGCGTTCGATTTCCTCCGATGTGGGAATCTTGATTGCGCCAGGCCCTGATTTCTCCAAGCTTGTCTATGATCTTTCGGAATCGGCTCGGAATCTCATAGAAGCAATTTTCCGCTGCCTCATCACTCGCATACCCAGACACCTATATCGGCTCCTGCCATATACTCCGCAAGCTCGGATACCCAGGTCCTCTTCGGACACACCATCTCGCTGAGCACACGAAAGGTCGTCGACTCGTTTTTTTTAATGCTCCGGCCTTCGACCGATCCAGTTTATGTAAATGAATTGAGGGCCGTGAGGATAGGATGCCGCGGATTTTCCACACGCAATCTTCAGGAGAGTTTCATCCGCCGTTACGGTGTTTCCTCGTCCTGCGAGGGGAACTTGACTCCAAAAAAAATACACTCAAGTTGGCTGATTTCATCATCATGAAGGAATTTGCGCGATGAATCTTGCCTATTCACCGAGTGAATGACCAGATTCGACGTCCTCCGGAATCGGCTACCGTCCCGCGGGCCTAACTTTTTTCGAGCAAACGTGCTCTTCAAGACTTCAGAATCTTCCCGTCTAGAGCCGCGACGCTGCTTGGGCGGGAAATTGCAAGTCTCCGATGTCTACTGCCGGTCGAATTTTCGCGCGGAGAATCCTCATGGAGCTCTCTTACAGGAGTGCGCCCCCAGCGCTCACACGGCTGGGGATATTCCCTGCTCCCGAAATCTGTTCTTGCAAGCAGTACCTAATCAGTGATGCCTGGAATATAAGGCTGTGTGGTCCTTTTCGGGAATGAAAAGTGCCCACCTAAGTTATGTGAGCATCGTGAACAATTCGAGGAACTTCTCTTAGAAGAGCTTGCGATGCGATTCCACAGTTTCATGTATGAGGGGGAAAATTGAGCTCCTGGTACCATTCGAGATCGGCTTTCCTCCACACGGGCACACGTGCAGTAGCAAGTGATTGTATGGGATTGCCGGCAAGGCCGCTATATTGAATGTGGATCGTGGGATGGGATGTGTTCGACGTGGTCAGATCGATTGAATCTGTGTTGCGGGAGAATCAAGCTTGTTCCCCTCGAAAGTTGGCTTGCGGCATTTTATCATGAGTGGCCAATACAGACGGGGCGGGGGCAATGCTCATCACGATCATTCAGCTTATAGTTCGGCAGACGGATGCGCCTGCATATTTGTCCACGAATCACAAATCCGAATCTATTTCCGTGTATATTTCTGAAAGATCCATCACATTCGCGTGAATTTGGCCCGCAGGCGACAAACAGGAACGACTTCTTCAAATATTCACGGCGAGATGTCCCCCCAGCTCCCTCCGAGACTTTTGCCAATGCCACAGGATATCCTCGGGAATGCGGTGCTCTGCAGACCGAGAATCTCAGCTTCAGGATGATGATGCATTGCAAAGCAGAGCGAGACCATCGCGTGACAGGCTTCCGGCTACTCTCAGTCGACCCTCCCCGCGCTTCTCGATTCCATGAAAGGTTCAGCAGACATTGTGAGTTCGTGAATGAGTCTCGGCTTCTGGTCCGGGGCTTTTTTATGACTATCGTTCGGAACCCATGGATTCTCCGGTCCAATCGAAGGGGATCCCCGAACCCATATTCACACAGCAGTTCAAACGTGCCGAAACTATCTCGCGAAGGTTCCAATATTTAGAACCAAAAGAATAATAGGTCGAATAACAAGAGAAGGATAGCTCGAATAATTGAAGGAGAATAGCTCGCAATCATGTTTCTGGGGGAGCGCCTTCTCAGCACGAGCGAGCACAAATCTCTGACGAGGATTTATTTCTTTTCAAATGCTAGTTTTCGTGAACCTCTGCTCGGGACCGAAACCTCAAAGATCCTACGAATGGAGGACACAGCGAGAGTCTCTCTCTTTCTGTTGTGGTTCAAGGTATAACATATATCTGTTTCAACGATGATATTTGATGGAGCTCATTACAGTTGAAGGCGACCACGAGGTTCCTCTTGCCGAATCCTTTAGGAGTCAGCCGAGTGTCAACCGAGAAGTGTTCACCGGCCCTCGGTGCGCTGCAGTGAGATCAATTAGGTAGTTAGAAAAGTGACCGCGACGACAGAACAATTATTAAGCTTGCAGCGATAGAGTCTGCTTACCGGAGAACTTTGAGTCGAACTTGTTTCGTTATGCCCGGCGCTTCGAGAAGGAATTCGGCGTCCGTCAAAGCGACAGGCAGGGGATTTTTCAACGATAATTTCAAGTCGAATGACCTTCCGACTTTCTGATTCGGATCACACTGTAAAGAGAATTTGAGAGACCTCTGTTTCCGAAGCGAGCCCCAGGTAGTTCAATCTTCTTCTTGCTGCACATAACAGGACACCCGGTACCGGACTCCCCGACACCTTGGATGGAGGACACCGGATCATCGACTTCGATCGGAACTCACCACTATATAAATGCTGGGTGCTGTCAATGAAACTTCTTCCGTTGAGACAAAGTCGTCATCTTCATCTCGGACAAGACCTTGCATTTCGACTGTGAATTGTTCGCCTTCCCTCAGAGCCGCAGCGTACTCGGGGTATCCCACGACAACATCGAGTTCCATGGCTGGAAAGGTTTGCGATTCTCTAATTATTCGTCTTTCGCCTTACGACACATGGGGCTCCTTGGCTCAGAGCCGCGTAGCATGAGATTCTGATTGATTGATTGATCCATCACCTTACGTCTCCAACTTACCGTCTCGAGGTTCCAGCTCCTCGTTGTACTCGACAATCTTGACGATTCTTTCGTGGGTTCCCGCGTACGTACGAGAAGTTATTTTGAATATGACGCGCACGTTGAAGCGATGATCGAATGATAAATTTTTAGCAGTGCCATAAAACTGCATCGAATCACCCATTTTGTGGTCGCTTGGTTTCTTAAGCTCAAATTTCACATTTCGAGGGATCTCTCCTCCGCCTGCTGCTCGCGAGAAGCGAGGCAGACGCGAATTCACTCGTCTCAGCGCACGCTGATACACCTGACGTTCCTCGGCTGTCCCTAGAGGGTGAAAAGGTTTCAAGTCTCATTCTGAGTCAACATGGGAGAATGGCTAACAATAAGTGTGAAGCGGACCGCGGAGCGACTCGAATAACTCATTTGTCGACGCTTTCCTAGCATCTTGTCCCCTTCCGTACCTTCTCGCGGTTTATATGAATTCGTGACATCGACTCGGTCATTGGTTAGAACTCCCTTTGTACTGATAATGAAGCCGACGCTGCGAAAAATATATACATAAGGATATAACACGTGTTGAATCGGTCAAATTTTGCTGAATTATCGTGTAGGCACCGAAACTCGAGGAGTCAATGACGATATTCCTCAAGATTAGGCCGATTGGCGAATTAGGTCTCCGATTGTCGAGAGCTTGGATCTAGAACTCACTCATCAATGAGTCGTTTGATTTCCTTCTTGAAACCCGAGGCTGTCTTGCGGAAGTACACAACATCGGCATTCACTTCAGATAGGACGAAAACTCCATCGTACTTCACGTCGATCTCACCTCGACGAATAGCTTTCACGCTTGCAGGACCGACCCTTGGAAGGAAACGAGCGGTTTCGGTGTGGCCGAAAATTATTGAATCGATCTGTATTTCCCAGTAGGGTCCTTTGTGGAGCTTTGAACGTAATCACCTGTATTCCCCACTGGAGATTTCTTGAGGAGTTGCATCGATCACCTGCCAGCCGTCGAAATCTCCCGGAACATTCAGATCGCTCCGTTTCATCCAAACCTCATTCCATACGTGGAAGGACCTGGAAAACCAGCGACACGTCCTAAAATCTGAAGTGTATTTCGAGAAGTGATTTTGTCACTGAACCTGGCCTCTCTGGTCCTAATTTCGAAAAGAGAATCTTGAGATTACACTATCACTTTTGATCCCCCTTCCCCTATCCTCGATCATCCGTGCCCTCGCCTCCTCAGGGCAGCCTCGTTCGCCCCTGGTTGGTATCGCTCGGGTCACCCATCAGAAACCAATGGATGATTCTACCGTATCCATTCTGAAGAGAAGGCGCGCTCGAGTAGACGGGCACTTAAGGTCACGGGTAACTCTGGCAAGAATCTGAGCTTCCCAGTGTAGGACAACAATCCCTCCGATTGGGGAAGGGAAAACTGTTCCTTCTTCCCGGCCTCTCGAAGATCCGGGAAGAGATCGATACAGGAACGGGCATATGCTCGAAGACATACGCCCGGGGAAATATAGACGCGCACGCTGTCCGATTGGAATATGTACAATCTATACGGTACGGGAAGCGGCCCTTCCCAACCCGTGCTCCCGGCCTCACCAAATGCTGTCGTTCCGCTTCTCCGAGACCATTTTGTCTCTCTCGTCAACCAAGTAATCCAGAACGAGGTTCTTGTGGACATCATGGGCCGACCGGTAATTCGTCACACATCTGAAAGATATATATGGCCCGAATCCGTTCGTATTCCTTGTTACCCGGTTCCCACCAATCCTTGCAAAGACGATCAGCATCCAGCCACCTCACCTCGAAGGCAGACCCAACGCTCTACACATGGTGTTGCAGACTCCAGCAAAGACGAAACATTGACCGTAGCGAACAACAGCGCGCTTCCGATAGAAGAGTTGCAGTATCTCGACTGAGGAGGACCATTCCCAAGGTGATCGACTGTCCGGCCGATCATGGAATTTCTCTGACCAATTCCCCTCAATGATTCCATCCTTATTGCGCTAGGGCGGGTGGAAGGAGGAGTTTTGACACATTCAGCTCCTGGATCAGCTCATTCTTGATCCCAAGTTGATCGTGTTCAGCAGCGATGAGGAGATGAAGAGAATACTCACGTGACCATTGATGATGCTTGATATGGCCCGGCTCACCCGGACCGGATCAGCCATGCCGGCCTCGTCGAGGTCGGCGATTTCTCGCAATGCATAACAGACAATCTGCAAGACATCCCGTTCATGTTGACCGAAGACCCAGGCCAATTCGCTTATGCGATCCTTACGACCAGAATATATGATTCCAGTGTCTGCCAAGACGTATTCTTCTCGGTCTTTGGAGCTCGGTAGATAAACTTCATCCCCTGAGGAATTCAGAGAATTGACTAAGCGGGATTCGGGACGCTTGATAGAGTAAGCCTCCCAAGGCATGTGCTGAGACTTCTCCTCTATGTGAAGTCGTGGAACCTCACGCTTACGCCTGCTCCGCACGAGGGCGAGAACACTGGCGACGTCTCCGCGCTGCAGTACCGTGATCGACCGGATCAGATCCCTCTTTTTCTCCGTCGATCTAGGCCCATTTGGCGATCCGGAGACACGGTACTATTAAGTTTCTTCACCTAACTCTCACTGACTGCCAATCCCCTAAGATCATTGAGGCATTCTTTCGATACCCCTATTGTGCGATCGAGAACACGGGTCATCAATCATCATGACCTCTTGAGAAGCATTACGGCAGGGCAAGCGTACCTCGGGCTGCTGCTAACGAGGATCACTCACTTGGTTCCCAGGGGTTGAAGAGAATGAAGATCGGTCCATTATACGCAAAGGATTTCCCAACGAAGTTATTGCTCCTTGCTACCTGGGTAATAACCGAGAGTTTCCATTCGCCGACTGCGGCTTTCACTGATGGCGTCACCTGTTTTCGAAGACCCTCGTGCTTAAACTCGGAGCGTAAACAATACGGTACCAAGATACCCACAGACCCTCGCAGATGCTTACGTGTCACTCGAACAACCCAATTTATGGCTTTACGTCGCATCGACGCGCAATGAACTCAAGACATTCGCCTGGGCTCTCCAGTGCGACACCGACTCACCTCGACTTCGACGGCTCTCCGATGAATCTCAATTATATGGGCGCTCCAGCTGTCCTTGCTCGTCCTCGGTAGAGCTCGGCTCGAAACGTCGACTTTTTCGATTCCATCTTGTCCTGAGATGAAGCGACTTCCTGCAAGGAGTAATCGTGCTATCCGACCACGGCAGGAATCATTTATTGTTCCCGGAAGTTTTTCAGATCGGGTTGGCCCAGATCCCGAATCGACCTTCTCAAGAGCGAGTCCCCGGCTTCGAGAGAAGGAATTGTTAATCGGTCTTCGGATTCATTCCTCCGTCGATGAGCTTGAAATTGCCGGGAGGACCGCATCCCAAGGCAGGAATCTCTGCAATGAATTGAGCACCCATGGTCTTCCGTCTAGCGGAGTCATCGGTCCGGGCGTTCGGCATGGTACGTGCAGACAGCTCAATGTGCATGTTGTCGACGTGGCCATGGAATATCGCACGGCAAGTCAATCTCATACGCGAATCGCTCGGTAATCAGATAGATTACGGAAAAAGTCTTCGGAGTTATATTCCACAGACGGGTGATAGGGTCGACGAAGCTTGGTTTCATTCAGTTTTCTGATAGATTCCGATAATAATCGAGATACGGCAGCGCACGTTCCCAAAATCACCGATTTGTATGATCCGCTACGCTCGTCATCAAGTTGTATCTTCTATTTGAGGACAAGGCTAGAAATCAGACGCTCGTAAGACGGCACATAGAGATCGAGACTAAGTTGCTGAAGCTCCGTACGCTAGATTTAGGGAGGCTTATCGAAATCGACCTCGAACCGCGGGAGCTTCAAACTCAACTGACCTGAATAGCTGAAGACGAGTTGTATTTGATCAAAATCAATGCGGAATTGTGACGTGAGCTGAAACTTCAGCTGGAACGCTTGACCTCGACGAACGATAAGATTACCGTGTCTTGAACCAGAGAAGCGATCGCAATGGTGAGCTCTGCAGTTTATTTCGATTTGCGGTTGTACCGAAGTAACTTCAGCAACATCTTCTTCTGAAACTGAGGAATATTTTTCAGCACCTCGACATGACTTGATCACTCCCATTCCCAATTAGTCTATGGTATATCCGCGGGCTGCTCAGATACATATCATTCCGAAGAAGGCAGAGAGCACTCATTAAAACATGTTCCCGGGATTCGCTTGAGCTAAACATGAAACTGAAGTCGTTCTTGAACCGCTTCCGAGCATCAGGATATGATCCGGCTTTTCCCAATTAAAACAACCCTCATTGCCCCGGAAAATGCTTCCGAGTGATTTCGAAAAATAATCGATTGAAGTAGCCGATCTTCGAGCTAACTATCTACCGGATACGCGAACGAAGTCGTGAGGAGAACTACTAAGGACGTGGCCCAGCCAGCAAGAGGGAGAACTATGAAACTTAAGCCAACACGGGTGTGCGGAGAAGAAGCAAAGGTCATCGAGCCGACACGACATGCTGTAATCATTCCGGATGTCGGACGAGCCAACGAATGCCAAAATTAACCACCACGCAGTAGCACCCACTTGAGTCGGGAACGAAGGATACGTTAGAGTATTGACGTTTCGGTGACCTGCTAGGATCGCAGTATGACCGAGTCAACTCGATCGACTCCACATAGAAGGCCGATGTCGCCCCCCGGCGCGGCTTACCGAGCTCGACATGCGCAGGATTTTTGCCGGAGGGACGACAGCTGAGTGAGGCTTCAGTCCCCCGGATCTCCCTTCCCCACGAGGAAGGAGGATTTCAAGTGGGTAGCTATGCATTTCAAGGAGAGCTGACCGAGTCTCCATAATCCAGGATTTGGTGCGACTCTGTCTATTTTCCTTCGCGAGGAGCACTCAGGACTTCTCGCGAGGCTAAACCCCGTCGTCGGCGTCGTTGATATCAGTCATCAGAATCTGCGCTGACGGTATTTTCCACACCCTTAATCCTCCAACGTGCGGGTCCTATATCCATGATCCCAAGCGCGGTCTCCCTGGTCATGTTTCAAAGAATTTAGCTCTGTTTTCTACGTATTAGTAACGATTGCGTTTATCGTGGAGCTTTTTTTCGGATTCATATACCGCATTCTTCTGAATCACATTGAATTCGAGCCGATGCTTGTTTGATACGAAAGCCTGTATGCCAGCCGTCGACCTTCGTGTCACGTCTCGTTTCCCGCGAGCCAGATAATAGTTGATTAGCTCGGCATGCGAATTATTTTCACCCATGTCAGCGGGACAAATCCGATGGGACGACCCAGATAAGGTTGCTCGCTCGTCTCTGCGGTCCGAACTTCACCATGACGTGCATTGGAAAGCGATCGTCGCCAGAACTATCTCACGTGTGCTATGCCCGTCGTAACGGGGAAACCAGAAGAAGACAGGTTCTCGTTAAGCTCGTGATTCCGGCGAGAGATCTCGAGATAATTTCAGAAGGATCTCACGATTCGAGCCGGGTAGATTGGTATCGACACGGAGAAAAGGAATGCAAAGAAAATCAGCTAATTAGTTCAACTATTGCCCAGTCGAATGGGAGAGTTCAAGACTGGACGTCACCCACCGCTCGCTTGACGACGTCCAGTTGTATTGTATTCGAAAATTGGGAAACTTCTCCTGAAATGTCGTTTCCGCTGCTGCAACCGCTCTGGATACACTTGTATCAAATTCGACTCTCGATGTCGCCTCGCTTGACGACGATGGGACGTCATTATGAAATTGTGTATTTCTATCCGAAAAATCACCGCCGAAAACGCCGCTTGTCGCCACAGCCGGGAAGAAAATCACAGGGAGAACATTGTCTTCGGCGGACAAGTTCTTACATCACGCTGTTTATTTTATCATGTCGAGGGGAGAATTCCGGTCGGTATTACGACGCTTGCCAGACCAGTCGGCCTTTGTGGTCACTGCTTGGCGCTCTGGTGACTTCTTGTCTAAACACCGAGAAGGTGAAACAATGCAACTCGAGGAGTAGTGCCAACGCGCTGCGAGAAAGGATCCCCTGTGGATCAAGCTGGCACGACCCTTCACAATGTGGGTATATTTTTAAACCAAATTCAAATTCTGAAATCTTCTTTGAATAAACACGCCTTGCGTACCCGCGCACCCAGTACATCATTGTCCACTCGTATCTGCAAACAAGAGCTATCCGAAGAAGAACTCACACGCTTGACAAACGATAAAGAATTACACGCCGCTTGTCAAAAGAGAGATAACGCACTTACAAAGTCTGCCGCGTCTTCTTCGGTCGGCTGTCGGATCGTCGCGGACAATTTGCACCTCGATGTTCAGCGGACGTCTCGGGTATCGCGGATGCTCGAAATTCGGCCAACGAAAGTCATCTGTGTCTCGGAATACGTCCCCTCTGTGGCGTCGCAGTGAGTTCAACCATTCTCGGCTGGAGCTCATCCTTGCGATTCGACAGAAATTTCGTTCCAATCCTTACTTCGTGAGATTCTCCGCGGATCGAGAGGTCTCACAAGGAGTACCTGAAACATCATATGAGGTCATTTTGGGTCCTCGCAGTCTCTGGCGCGCCCTGAACGCAAAGCTCTGGGGTTCATCAAGGGAGACAGGAACTCTGAACCTCGAGAAAAGAGTCGCCTCGGTCGCCGGACATGACCTCATCCTACAATGGCGCTGCCCTCAGATACATCTGAGTGTGCACCGTGCCCTCGCCCTCTGACACCAACTGATTACAATTTCCCTGCGGATTCATGCCTGTCAGAAGAAGTTCCTCTTAGCGGATACGGCCAAGTGATCACGCGTATTCGGTTAACGTAGAGCCGCCGGTCTCGCAAGAGGATGGCAATTACTTCGCTGGTCTTGACTTACTGATCTCCAGAGTTTCCGCCGGAACATTCCTCATCAACAAAAATTGCCTTCAGATACTTCAGACCGTCTCCGTGTCGATTGGTCCGAACATTGAGATATCAAGCCCGATCTCAACTTTCAACACAATGGAAATCGGGTTCGGGAATCGCGATCGAGTGTGTCGATATTCAATTATCGAGACAGCAGAGCGTCCGAAGCTGGGAAATTCTAATCATCGGGCGTGGGTCACGGGGATACTCTCAAGGTCGAAGGCATATGGGAGGGATACTTCAGAAGCATATATGCTTGTGTCAAAACGAGTCATGGGAAATCGAGAGCGGGTCGACGTCCAGTCGATTCACGAATAACTTGAGCTCAGTCCAGCAAGTCCGTCAACCGACAGCGGTTCCGGATGAGTTTTTGCGTGAATCGCGTGAGCTGGATCACTTGACAACAATCCCTTGCCTGATCGATGGTATCTATCGCGATCCCGGATACGCCATCACTTCAGCGGTTTACTGGTCAGCGGGTCTTCCCATTTTTCGGACAGAGATACGGATTCCTCACACTTGTGGTTTTCGAGTTTGGAACCTTCGCTCCGCAACGCTGCAGGGGAGATTTCGCCCTTTTACTTCCATTCCAGTGCGGCGGAGGCATGTGCATTCGCTACGAAGCATCACCGGAAATGAATCCCTTGCAGGTAGATTAGAGTCGCTCCCCAGAAACTTCAGGAGTTGCCCGGAACCTGAACCGTCGGCATCACCACTACGGCGCGCCGGGACCGCGTCTGCACCCTCTCCGTTTGTGGGCCTTCGTTTCTCTTGAGCGAATCATGCTCTTTCTCCGAGGAAAATCAGTCGATCTTCGATAGTCACGCATCTCGTCACTGCCCGAACTTATGCTCGAGCAATGAGTCTAGAATAACACTTGGGCGACACGCTTTGGGAGTTATTGCGTCGGAATAGCTCTGGGGAGCTGTTATGAAATTAGAGCACTAACTCGATTTGTTTCCCCCTCGATTGCGCGAGACTCGGTAAGTTCTCCATTCGGCCGAAATTCCTGAGGAGGATTTCGGTCCGCCTATCGAACATCCCGAGTGACGGGAAAAGTGAGATGTCCAAATCAAGCCTAGAAATTCGATCAACTCAATGAACAAATCTATGAGGGTGGGCGACTCATTTCACGGCGCTCGCATTACTCCATCTTTGGGAAGGAGCGAGTTTGACGGCGGAACGAGAGCGATCCCCACCGGACCATCTGCCTCGAAGAATCCAATCCGACACAGTTCATTGTCCAGAGCGAGTTCCTTCTCCCGATCTATATTTCTTCTCCTCCCTCTTTTCTGCTTATAATTCGAAATCTCTTCCGAATAACGGAATCTCATTGTGCGTCGTATCCAAGCCATTGAGCTACTTCTTCACAAGCCCTCCAAAGTGCCGGAAGTGGAAACGTAGGGTTTCACTCTCATAAGTCCCGTTCCGATAGCTGTGAAAGTGCAGGTGATCTGGAAGATTTGGGAGAGGGGCCGGAGGAACTGATCGAACGAAGGACATCTGTGAAGCTTTTCTGCTGGAGTTTCGTCGTCTAGGTCCTCTGGAAGCAGAAGATTCCCTTCCGGTTTCATGCGTCGCGGAACTTTATCAGGTCCCACAAACTCCACAAAAAATTATAATATCCGACTTGAGCGATAGCACTCCTTTGTAAACGGCAGCAGGCGAGGAGAGACATACAAGGGACTTTCACAGCTCTCGTCATTCAGTCAGTTATTCAACAAACTGTTAGTGCCATGATCCCTGGGTCCCCGATCCTCATGGACATTCGAATACCCGCTCGAACAGCAGCCATATGACGATTCGCAGACTCGCTCGAGCAGAGACTGACGGCGCTCTTTCAGCGAATCCTCGCCTTGGCGAGTCACCGTCCCCTGTGCGCCTCGCGACAGTGAGCGCATTTGTGAATTCGTCTAAGACTGAGACTACCCAAATTAAGTTCCCGAGGCTGGATCGACAATCTACGTCGATTCCGTTTCCGGTGGCTCATTTGGATAGAGCTTAATAATTCACGTCAGAGCCGGAGGCACACCTGTAATAAATAAGCAGCAGTTGGCTGATAGCGATAGGTTCTTCCCTTGAATTTCCGACAAATCTTTTCGAAAACCAACGGGACAGAATAGATTTGAAACGGTGAACGATTCGAAGCCGGTTTATGCCACAGAAGTTTTTTCACTCTCTTTCTATATTTTCTCGCGCTGCCGTCGGACTGCTCTTCCTCCG